TTTATTCTATTTTATTTTTCCTGTTTCTTACCTGTACTTTCTTTTTTTTCTTTTTTTTTTTTTGAGTTGGAGTCTCACTCCGTCATCCAGGTTGGAGTGCACTGGCACACTCACTGCCACCCCAGCATCAACCTGCTGGCCTCTGGCAATCCTTCCCTCAGCCTTCCAAGTAGCCAGAACAACAGGTGCACACTACCGTGCCTGGCTAATTTTTTATTTATTGTACAGATGAGGTCTTGCCAAGTTGTCCGGACTGGTCTTGAACCCACGGGCTCAGGCAATCCACTCACCTCAGGCACCCAAAGTGCTGGAATTACAGGCTGAGCCACCGAGCCCAGCTACCTGTACTTTCTTTAGCATACATCACATCTGTAATAAGAAAAGCTATTATCACTCAATCTTTCTAAATGGTCAGTCATCTTTGGGCCTGAGGACTGGCGTGGTCTTATGTCTAGTGACTCACCTTCAAGTTCACTCACACTCTGATTTTATTTCAACCACAAACTGCACAAGCTTCCAGTGGGAGCTACTTGAATCTCAGTTCTTCCGAATAAACAGGCAGGCAAGGCTGTGCTTGGTGATGATAGTGAAAACCCGGGGGAAACAGGTTAGGCAGATGGACTTACAGAATAAATGCTTCTACCAAAAGACAAGGCTGAAAATGAATGAGCTACATATTTAATGGAAGAAGTGATTAAAAAAAAAAAAGAACACACCAAAAGAAAGCTAAAGGAAAGGAAGCAGAAATGAAGTGAAAACTGAATATAACAACAGAGAGGATCACAAATAAGCTGAAAGTTGGTTCTTTGTGTAGAGTAATAAAATTAACCTTCTAGCAAGTCTGATCAAGAAAATGAAGAAAAGTAAAAATAATCAATACTAAGAATGAAAAGGGGACCATGGCTACCCACATTACAAAGATTTAAAAGAATATAATAAGATAGTGCTGTGAACAACTTTAGGACAACGTATTTGAAAATTTAGATGAAATGGACAAAATTCTAAAAGCAAACAACCCATCAAAACCGACCCAAGAAGAAATAAAGACTAAATAATCCTATAACCATTCAAAGAATTGAACATCAATTTTTTTTTTAAATCTTTGCACAAAGAATCAGGCCCCACCAGTTTTAGCATGCTATACTAAACATTTCAAAAATAATAATAAATCCAACATGATATAAACCATTCTAGAAAATAGGAAAATAAGGAACATGCCAACTCATTTTATGAGACTAGTAAAATTTTTACCAAAGTCTGACAAGGTTTTGGAAGAAAATAACAGACCAGATCTCAGTCATTAAAAGAAATGAGAAAGTCCTAAACAAAATATAAGAAAGTCTAAACGAAAAGATAACATGGCCAGGCTCTTTTTAATCTCAGGAATGCTAAGCTGATTTAATATGAGAAAACTAATGCCTATAAAAGTTTCCACCTTAATTAAAGGAAAAAATACGACCTTCTTGATAAAGCTAGAAAAGGCATTTAATAAAATTCAAATTAGCAAACTAGATATAGCAGGGAACTTCTGAGGGGAAAAAAATCCACAAAAACCCTATAGCAAGCACTACTCTTAGTGGTCAAATAGTGAAAGAAAGCATAGCCTTTAAGATCAAGAATAAGACAGGATGCCTGCTATTACCACTTTTACTTAACAATGTCTTAGAGGCCAAAAGTACAAAAAGGCTTTTAAAAAGATGATGAAAATGTTTCAGAACTTGGGAGGTAGGGTAGGGGCGTGGCCAGGGACTCTTATTAGATAACCCATCTACACAGAAAACCCAGAAGAATCCACATTTAGACTACTAGAATTCATAAAAGTTTAGTAAGATTGCCAGATTTTTAAAAAATCAGCATCTTAAAAAAATAATTACCAAGAACAAAAAGTTAAAAAGTGATCTTTTCTAAAAGACATCAGAGACAAGGTCATGAATTATGTGGCAGGGGCTTGCAAAGGAGCCTGTTTTTGAAGCTGTCCCCCCAAGCGACAGCAAAGACAACCCGGCAGCCCCAGGAACAGAAACCTGGATGTGCAGGTTGGTCTGTAGAACAAAGGAGTTATGGTTGATGATCTGGAATGGGAAACGAATACAAATGGATCTGCCAGGTCCTGAGTCTGTGCCTAGAATGGGGGTGGAGGAGAGACATTAAGGCTTGAGTATTAAAAAAAACCCTGCTGTGTCAGATAGAGATGGAGTATCCATTATTAAAGTGGCCAAGGAAAAATTCCAAGAGCATGCTTGGAGACCTGGTTTCTCACGTACTTTTGCCCAGGGGGCAAACTTGGACATTCAAAAAAGCAAAAATATTGCCTGCTACCTTAACACCTCCTACCAGGTAGTTCAATTTAATCATTTACCTTCAGTAATGAGCTTCACAGCCAGCAGCAACGCCAATACGAGACTAATTGTCTTCCTATAAAAGGAACTTGCTCCACTATTTGAAGAGTTGAGAAAAGCTATGGAAGTTTCTTCATCTGACTGTGGTTTCAATGTGCACCTTATCTTCATTATACCAGACACAATATCAATCCAGCAATCTTTAGGCCACAGTAAATAATGGTATCCATGCACTCAGGTAAAAGGCCCTTTCCACCTATATACATAGGAAAGTTAGTGATTCTACCAATAAAGAAAGTCTGTAGACTGTAAAGAAAGAGTCTACAGGCAGGATTTCTGGAGAGATAGCTATATTTCCTTGTTTAAGGTCTTGTTTTATTTAGTGGGATGTGAGAATAACACAAAAATGGTTCAGTCTATCACGGTTCCCATGGTGTTAGCTCAGTCACCAAATATCAATGATATGCTGTTCAGTGGATCTGAGTCAAAACAGTATATTGATCCACTCCAACTATTAAGTGCTCCCTATTGTACGATAGGCCCAGGTCTGCCGAAGGAAGCAGACTCTTTTTACTGTGAATAATAATCAGGACATGGTTTTCTTCACATCATATTTTATTTCTTTGTATTGAATGTGAGACAGATAAAATGGCTTAGCCACAATCAGTACAATCACTAACTTCCATGTATACAGGCATTTCTCAATATCCACTGGGAATTGTCTTCAGGAGCCCCCACAAATACCAAAATCCACTCAAGTCCTTGATACGAAATGGCATAATATTTGCATTTAACCTACACATATCCTCCCATATACTTTTTTTTTTCAAAGCAGGATTTATTGAGAGGACAGAAAAGCTCCCACAGGGGGAAGAGACCCGAGGGGTTGCCCCCTCATATACTTTAAATAATCTCTGCATTACTAATAATTCCTAAAATGCAAATGCTATGTAAATAGTTGTTAGACTGTATTGGTTTTGGGGTTGAACTTTTGTTGTTGTATCGGTTTTATTTTTTTAGGATTATGTCTGATCTGTGGTTGGTTGAATCCACAGATGCAGATCCCTCAGATACACAGAGCTGATTGTATATTATTTTGCATTATGAGTGAATATTACTAATTGATTTGATTCTTTTCAAAAGGTGCTACTCTTTATCTAACATGCAAATTATAACAAATGGAGGTTCCCCCCCATTCTGCTCTCTGTAACCAATCATATTCAATGTTTTCATATTATTCATAAAATTTAGGTGTGGGCCAGGCACAGTGGCTCATGCCTGGAATCCTAGTACTTTGGAAGGTGGAGGCAAGAGGACTGCCTGAGCCCAAGGGTTTGAGACCAGCCTGGGCAACTTAGCGAGACCTTATCTCTATATTAAATCAAAAAATTAGCCAAGCATGGTGGCACATACCTGTAGTTCCAGCTACTAGGAAGGCTGAGGTGGAAGGATCACCTGAGCCCAGCAGGTCAAGGCTGTGGTAGCTATGAGTGTGCCACTGCACTCCAGCTTGGATAACAGAGTGAGATTCTGACTCAAAAAAAAAACATTAGGTGCAATTCATTAACAAACTCTGCTTCCAAAACCAACATGTATGTAAACATGATAATATAGCCTTTCTTATCAGACATGAGTATAAATAAAATAGTATTTTAGAAGCAAAATATCTGATACATACATATTAAAATATAGAACACCTAGGAATATATCTAACAAAACTGTATAGAACATTTATAAATAAAATTTTGAAAGTACTGAAAGACACTTTTTAAAGTACCTAAATAACTGGAAAGTCATTCCATATTCAAGGATTGGAAGAGTCAACATGAAGATGTCTCTAAACTGATCTACAGAGTCAATGCAGTTCCAACCAAAATCCAAAATGTTGTTCTGTTGAATCTGACCAAGGGCCCAGGACAGCCAGGGCTAAGAAGAACAAATGATGCAAATGTAGATCTTGCCTCCTCAGGCATGCAGAAGCCATGAAACGGGGGACCTTGGAAAGGGACCCAGCATGGATTTTTATTTCACTTTTACTACTAACTAGGACATTGGGCAAGCAACTTCCCCTCTCTAGGTCTTCAAGCACACATCTCAAAACCATACCTCAGCCCTTCCACTGAGAATCTCACATATTCAAAGTACATTCCTAAAGGATCTGAAAAGCCACACCACAATCACAAAGTCATTCTGACTCTCCTAGAGACCACCTTTAGGAAACACACCTGTGTTTGGAGCTCACAGGTAAATTCCATCCAAGCAGGAACCCCACCCACCCACATCCTCGTTGTGGACATCAGCGAGGCTGACAGATTAGTTTCTGTCTAGATACCCAGTGTGCAGCATGTTTGGCTGCTCCAGCCAGACACCCCCACAGCCAGCACGTGACCCAGCACGTGACCAGCTCATTGTCTGAAGTTCAGCCCTCTTCTTCCTCCTTTAAAACTGACTTAGCATTCTCATTTGGGAAAAGTACGGAATAAGCGTTTCTCTGCTGAGTTTCTGGGTTTTGTGTGTTCTAGGAAGGGCTCAAAGGAGGACCCCTATAAGCAAAACACCCCAAGGCCCAACATTTAGCCAAAGAACAAGAATGCCTGGCCTCCAGGTCCCACTCACCCATCACCTAGAGCCCAGGAAGAAGCAGCTGTCTTCACCCTGTACCTGTATTTGATGTCAAATACTGTGGAGTCTTCATCCTCATCATCCTCTTCATTCAGCGGGGCCATTTCCACTCGCTCAGCTGGAGTGGTGATGATGTCGTATTTTCGGGTCTTCTTTAGCCTCTTTCCTGACCTGGAGGAAGAGAAGCACATTTATGAGAGCATAGCTCAGAGAGAGACACTGAGCCCAAGGCTCAGAGGACCTGACACAGACTTAGCGGCAGATGTTGTTAGGTTCCCTTCCTCCCACCTGAGGACACGAGGATTCTGACCAAAGGTAAACCAAACTGCTGCCTCCAGTCTAGCTACTGAGGCTGCTCCCAGAAGACCTCGAGACAGTTACCAGCCTTGATAACCCTTTATGTTCCTCACTCATAAAGCAGAGATACCGGTCCTGAGCACTGCAAACTCAGTAACCAAGATAAATAACGTATGAATGCAACATGTTAAAAAGGCATAATATGCTGGGCATGGTTGCTCATGCCTATAATCCCAACACTTCAGGAGGCCAGGGTAGGAGGATACTTGAGGCCCAGAGTACAGAGTATAAGACCAGCCTGGACAGTGTAGCAAGACCTAGTCTTTACAAAAAATTAAAAATTAGTTGGGTGTGGTGGCACCTGTAGTCCCAGTTACTCAAGAGACTGAGGCAGGAGGTTCCCTTAAGCCTAGCAGGTCGAGGCTGTGGTGAGCCATGATCATACCACTGCACTCCAGCCTGGGCAACAGAGTGAGACCCTGACTCAAAAAAAGTTATTTGTTTTTTAGTTGGAGCCTCATTCTGCCACCCAGGCTGGAGTGCAGTGACACGCTCATGTCCACCGCAGTCTCAACCTGCTGGGTTTAGCTGACGCTTCTGCCTCAGCCTTCCAAGTAGTTGGAAGTATAGTCACGTGCCATATGCCTGGCTAATTTTTTGACTTATTATAGAAATGAGGTCTTACCAAGTTGCCCAGGCTGGTCTGGAACCTGTGGGTTCAGGCAATCCTCTCATTTTGGCCTCCCAAAGTGCTGGGATTATAGGCGTGAGCCACTATGCCCGGCAAAACAAATTTTGTTTTTTTGGGGTTTTTTGATTTGGAGTCTCACTCTGTCGCCCAGACTGGAGTGCAGTGGCCGCTCCCGGCCACCGCAGCCTCGACCTGCTAGGCTCCTGCAATCCTTCCACCTCAGTCTTCCAAGTAGCCGGAATTACAGGCATGCACTACCATGCCCGGCTGATTTTTTGATTTATTGTAGAGATGAGGTCTCGCTGCCCAGGCGGGTCTCGAACCTGTGGGCTCAGGCAATCTACTCACCTCAGCCTCTCAAAGGCGCGGGATTACAGGCTGAGCCACCGAGCCCGGCTAACAAATTTTTAAAATGACAAAATTTAAACAAGAAAAAAGCCATGATGGACAAAAGATCTAGATGTCCAATCAAGACAGCCCCACCCTAAGGGCCAGCCAAAAAGGATCTGGGTCAGAGCTCAGCCACTCTCTACTTGAGTGATCAGGGGTAAGTCAGGTAATCTCCCCAGGCCTCCTTTTCCTCATAACTAACCTTGGATAGGACCAGTCTTCCTCGCAGTCCAGGGAGGATTACATGAGCTGATTTGCTTAACAGGCGAGTCTTGGCAAAAGTTACCATTAGTCATAATAATAAGTAGAAGTCAAACATGCTACCTCCTTTACCCTAAGACAAGGACTTGTGAAAATTAATCCACTTTGTTTCCATCTTGGGGACTTATGAGGAAAATGGCTGTAATAGTATATTTTTACCTTTGGGATGGTGGAGGGTCACCGTGGGCTATGGGGAAAGCGCTGACACAAGCCACTTCAGCCTCTGGCCTATGACACTATGCATGAAGGTTGCAATATTTACCAGGTCACGGCTGGAAAGCTTATGATGCCACTGGGGAATAACACTATTAGTATGATGACTGATGGGTCTCTCCACTCTCTTGAACTTTTTCCTAATTGCTTTGTACTCTCTGGAGTCCCTCTGTTTTAAGAATATTTGTTACTCTCTATGAGAAACCAGTCAACCCCAAAAGTCATAATGGAGCATTGAAGAATCACGTTCCCTACACATTCTTCCTGCAGACCACAAGCTGCTCCCGACGGAGACCCCATCAAAGACACAGGCAAAATCTCTTTGTCCTCAGCAAAGAGAAGCTCTTCAATAAGCTTGCAAAATGAATGAAAACAGAACTTCACTTTCAGGTTTTCTACAAATTTCTTAGCAATTTGCCCTTGTCTTGCCTAATATGATTTATCAACATGTCATGTCATTTACATAAAAAGTTTTAGGACCATAACTTCAGGCATAAAGCAACCTATACAACCTGCTCCTCATGTTTCTTTAAGAGAAAAGGGGTCAGATTTTGGAAGAAGAGAAACCATCTGTGAAGTCCAATGATTCCTAAGTCTCATTACAAAGCATTTTTTCCTCCCTGCTTTCTTCACAGATATACACACTCATACCCACAGGTTCAGGTACGAATCTACCTGGATTCTGGATACAGGATGGAGCTTGGTGCAAATGCCAAGTCTGGTGGTAAGGGGATAATAAAGAGGCACAGCCAGTAACCTAGCCAGTAGCCCTGGGACATTAGCATTTCAGAAGCAGGCACTGTTGGTCCCACAACAGATTCTTCTCACCACCTCCCCCCAAGAGAGTAAAATAAATCTTTGTATTCTGCCCTGGATGATTCATAATCCCTGAATGATTCCATCTTTGATATTGGATGGGGAAATGTAAGCCCAGAAACAACTCCAAATGCCACAAGCAATCCAAGACAGCCACAAGAAAAACCACCCATCCTCAAATGCACAAGACTAGGGTCAAACTCCCAGTCTGCACAGACTCACACACCAGACCCTTCTCACAAAGACAGTCCTAAATCTCCACCCGGAGGATTCACAACTATTTGAGGGGAGCTCCTGGCTCTGCAAAGGGGCAGGCTAGGCTGTCCATTTCCAACACACAAGCATGAGAAAAGGAAATGTCCTGTGAACCCACGAACTTGAGAAAGCTTCCTGGGGGCCCTTGAAAAGATTAATGCCTAGATGATTTCAGGCTGAGTAGTCATGGTCCTATTTGTGACTCTTTTTCAGGCACCATGAAGCCTAAAAAATGCAAAATCTGATTGCAAATCTCATGGTGCACTTGGGACTCATGCCTCATTTAGTCATTGGCCCTGGGGCAGGACTGACTGCTGACCCTCAGAGAAGGCTCTGGAGGCTCTGACTTTAGCTTTGCATCATAAGAGTGGAGCCCCATCACTTATACAAACTCTTTCCTTTTCTCTATATATTGTCTATAAAGTCTTATGAAAAGAAAGTTAGCCTAAAATTAAAATAAGGCCCTTGAGCACCTGCCCATAGGAGAAGCAGGAAAATGACACCAGCTTCTAGAATGCTGTGGCCTCCAATGTTTAAGGCCAGCCTTTCCAACCTTGTGACCTCAAGAAATAAATTTCAACCCCAAGATTACACCAAAGGTGTGATGGTGAATGTTATGTGTTAACTTGATTAGGCCACAGGGTGCCCAGACATTTGGTCACATGCTATTCGGGGAGTGTCTGTCAGGATGTATCTTAATGAGTTTAACAGTTGAATCTGAGGACTCTGTGTAAAAGTAGATGGCCCTCCCTAATGGGGGTGGGCCCTGTCTAGTCAACTGAAGGTCTGAGTAGAACAAAAGGCAGATCTTCCCTCAAAGAGTAAGGAGAACTCCATCTGCCTAATTTTCTGCAGGCAGAGACATGTTTTTTTCCTTACTTTGGACTTAAACTAAAACATAGGCTCTTTGAGGGACTTGAGCCTGCCTGCGTTTAGGCTGGAAATTGCAACATTGCCTCCCTAGGTTTCTGTCTTGCAGATGGCAGATCTTGGGACTTGTCAGCCTCCATAATCACACAAGTCAATTCTCAATTCCTTACAATAAACCTCAATCTCTCTCTACACACACACACACCCCTATCCATTCCATTTCCCTGAAGAACCCTAATATAAAAGGCCATTAGCAAGAGCCCTCATGCATGTTTCAAACGCCAGTTTTGACATAATGAGCTGGAGAAATTACATTTCAAACAATCAACTCACTGAGACAAAACACTCTTTACAAAAGAAGGGCAATTTCTGCTGTTTCACTGCTGGGCGTATTAATAAGGGAAAACTGAGACTCGTGAGAAGTTCAAAGATACTCAGCCACATTCTCAGCAGAGGCACACTGGCTGTGTTGGCAAGGGTCTCCACTGCTGGATGGGAGGGAACCTGCATAGTTTAGAAATGGAGTTGGTGGTGGAAAGACAGGGTGGTGGGATTAGTGGGGAGGGTGGGATATTCATACATTTCTCAACCAGCGAATTCTCCATTTACTAGCTGTGTAGCAGTCAGAAGCAGGGAAATATATGAAGAGAGTCGACCAGTATTTCCTGCATTCCTGCAGATCCCTGAGCCTAACTGTGCTGGACTCAGAGAACAGTGCCATTCAGCCCCAGAGTGAGAACATGAGCAGATGGGGAAAACGAGTGCATTCTGAAGCCTACATGACCTCGCTGAGTCCTGCTCTCTCTTCACTAAAGATGGATTCTATAATGTGTCTTTTAAAACTAATAAAAGTTCACAAGAGTTAAACTCTTTCTGGGGGCCAGCTAAGTACTTTTGCCTGTGTGAGCACATGTAAGATGTTGAAATCACCCTGTAGGGCACACACTGCTGATATCCCTGTCTTATAGCTGAAGAAACTGAGGCTCAGAGCAGTCAACTCATCCATGGCCATGTAGCTATAAGCAGCAGAGCGAGAGTTTGAAGCAGGCAGTCCAGGGACTGGGGGCTCACGGTGGGCACTACCTGCCTCCTTTCCATGGGGGTGAAAGAGCCACACCACTACCCATGGTTTGAAATGTGCCAATAAGGCAGGAGGGCACAGGGATTAAGAGCACAGACTACAAAGTCAACTCAGGAAGATCGCAGGGCACAATGAGCACACATCACTCCTTAGAGGGCCAGGGGTGCTTTCATGGGACACCTTGAACCTCCCTGTGCATGCCCAGAGGGAAGGCACCAGCTCTCCACTGCCAGTCCCACTCACCCAGAGTACCACTCCACATCCTACTAGACTTCCCACCACTTGACTCTAACACCC